TGTGTCTGCATACGATGCAATAAAGATCTAAAAGCCTGTCATGAAGTCGAACAAACTGAATTTCCATCTGGTTTTGATCTTTATTTTCCAGGAAAGATGAGAGACAGGCTGGTTGAACTGGGAGGTGTTGCCACCAAAGACCACAAAGAGGAAGACCAAGTAGATAGCGGAGAAGATGTGGACAGTGGTGAATTTGAACAGCATGCGGTGGTGTTTGAGGGCGAGGACATCATGGAGGACGCTTTCAGAGAAGCCCAATCCATCCAGAAAGAAATCGCCCACATCCGTATGGAGGTGAAGAGACTGGGCAAGCAGAACACGCGCTTTCTCACCTCCGTCAGACGCATTAGCAGCATCAAACGCGACTCCAACGTGATCGCACGCAACATCAAAACCAAAGGGGAGAACCTGTATGCTCGGATACAGAAGATGGATGCACTTTGTGAAGATTTGGAGGAGAAACACGGAGCCCATTCGGCTTTGGTGCGCATGATACGCGGCCAGTTCGTCTCTATAACGGGTTCTTTTCATGAGGCCATGAATGAGTACAACAGCGCTGAAATGGCACAGAGGGACAACTGCAAGACTCGCATTCAAAGGCAAGCAGAGATCATGGGTAAAGAAGTGACTGGAAATCAAATCGAAGAAATGATCGAGACAGGCAAGTGGAATGTCTTCTCTGACGACTTGCTCACAGACGGGCGAACCGCTCGCTCAGCACTCACTGAGATCGAGAATCGCCATAAGGAGCTTTTGGAGTTGGAGAGTCGCATCAGAGACATCCATGATCTGTTTTTCCAGCTGGCCTTGTTGGTGGAGGAACAAGGGCCCATGGTGGACAACATTGAGGCCAATGTATATGCCACCCAAGATTTTGTGGCCAAAGCCACAACTCAGATAAAGAAGGCTGTCAAATACAAGAAGAAAAACCCTTGTCGACAGCTCTTCTGCTGCTGTTTTCCATGTTGCAATAAATGATCTCGGTGTTACCGCCTTACCATTTCGCATAAGCCATAGCATATGGCTATTCTTGCAAGCTAGTGTTAACCATGTCATGTGATTTGCTCTGAAGAGACCAACCGATGCCCAGTGCCTGCACTTGATGGTTGTCACTGTGAAAAACTTTGTGTTTTCTTGTAAACCACAGGAGCTGCAATGCAAATGAGCTAAAGTAATACTGCAATCTCACTGCTAAACGTCTGTGAGAGTCACAGGACATTCACTTGATGTGTAAAAGATATTAAAAGGGAAACCACAAGTATAAAGTGTTTTATGCCCATGTACAGTGCACGAGCAAATATTATACAGAAACATATTTTACTCATGAATCTACTGCTATATTTTAAGGTACATTTATTTGTGTATGTATGGTTTGTTTTATTAATTTAATAAATATTTTTATCTTTTAATGCTTTCACGTTTGTTCGATCACCATATTGTGCTGGACTGTTCCTTGTAGGAAATTTATGTAATACGTAGTATTGCATTAGTGTAGGTTTCCCAAGTTTGAAAGTTACTTCTGCAATATGACTTGCAAAAGATATTGTGTAAAAGTGTCTGGTGTTTTGAATATAAAACCCTGCAATCTTATACATTTGAACAAATACTGAGAACTCTTTCTTTACATTGTTGCATTTTCATCAGAACCAATGTGAGAAATCTATCTTCTGCTTCTTTAAGAACCACATTCGCATGCAAAGGTTCAAGTCAAGAAGATATGGCATTTTAATCTCACATGTTTACCAGGAGTGGGGTTTGAGCTCACAAGGACATTTGTCCATTGGATCTTAAGTCCAACTTAACCATTAGGCCAACCTGGTCACTGTGTAGCTTGCTCCCATGGGGCTTTAGGAATCCTGTCGATGCATTTAACTAAGCATAACCTTGCTTTACTAGACTGCTTAGTCACTGGTTTTTCTGTTGGATGCTTATCTATATTTTCTTTTAAAGTGAAAGATGGCATATATTAAATATAGTTTAAATGTTAGGAAGACCTACCAGGAGTGGGGTTTGAACCCACGAGGACATTTGTCCATTGGATCTTAAGTCCAACGCCTTAACCACTCGGCCATCCTGGTCACTGTGAGGCTTGTTTGGCCTCAAATTGAGGAATTATATAAACTGACCTCAAATTGTGGAATTCGATTTTGCTGGTTCTTTGTTTTTAATAACCACATCTACCCAAAGAGCAACTTTCTTAAAAATGAAAATGCCCTTCTTCAAACTAGGTAGTTATGATGTGTGTCTTTTAGATTTGTTTGTAGTGGTGTATTTGGGGTCAACAGTTTTACATTCTTGTCTTGAGGCTTTTTGGTATTTCTGAAAAAGAATTTAGAGCACAATTAGGAAGTTTAAACAGTACAATAAACCTAAAATTAAAATGTAATGATGCATATGCATGTGAAAAACTAGTTATATGCATTTGCTTTTTTCTAGCAGAAAAGTCAACTGGTCTTCGACTGTTTAAGAAGCTGTCAATTTATTAACTAAGTGTGTTATTGATTTACTAGGCTATTTAGTAACTTGTTTCTCAGTAGGTTACATAGCTACATTTTCCCCAAATGTCAAATGTTAACAGTATATTCTGCACGAAATCCACTTTATGCTTAAATATTCTACCAGGAGTGGGGTTGGAACCCACAAGGACAATTGTCTATTGGATCTTAAGTCCAACTCGACCATCCTGGTTTTGGTAAGAACGTTAATGACCTGTTTTTTTCAGATCTGAAGATGTGTGTCTGTTTGTGTTTGTTCAGCTCAATACATTTTCATTAAAAAAAAAAAAACCCCTGAAGTTTCTTTCGTTTTTTCTCCATTTAGACTAATGTGGCTATCAGTCTAAAGTCTTATAAGAAAAGACTTCAGTCTTCTGTGGATTTTGCATGTGATGTGATGAGGCCTACAGATAGCAATTCACTTTGTAACTGCAGTTGGCACTGCATCTATGCAAGAGAGGCCAATAACACAAATGCACTGGCATTTATGAATGTATTTATACTGTCTTTGTATATTATGAGCAAGTTACAAATGCAATGGGAAAAAGATAATAATTAATAATTTATGCATTTAGCAGACGCTTTTATCCAAAGCGACTTGCATTCAAGCTATACATTTTTTACCAGTATGTGTGTTCCCTGGGGTTTGAACCCACAACCTTTGCGCTGGTAACGCAATGCTCTACCACTGAGCCACAGGAACAAAAAGATGAAATTCAAATATCTATTTAAAGTCACATTTTCCTATCAGGTTTGAGTGATTCATAACATTGGAAATGTGTTGCCACTGGTACACCAGTAGATGTCAGCATTGTATTTTTTTGTCTCAAAACATCTGTGATGGCAGTATTTGGAGTCACATGTTTTTCATTCTTTGTTTTGGGGTTTTCTAGGTGAAAGAAACACATGTATAACAGAAAAGTTACACTGCAAATGAAATAAAATAGTGAATACACTGGTGATAACTTGATATTGAGCAGGAATATGACTCAGCTCTCCTGCAGAACAGTTATATAGGGTTAAACCCTTTAAGTTCCTATCAATTTATTAATCATCTTAATGTGTTGCTGATTTATCAGGTACTTAAGAGCTAATTCGTCATATCACATTTACCCCCAAACTACCATTAATGTATTAGATTTAAAGATTAGGAGATTCCAGGGGAAGAGCTTAATCACACGAGAATCCTAAATCTGTATCATACTGTATACATTTGACAAAACCTGTTGTTTACAATCACTACATGCCTTGTGTCGTCTGATTTGGTAGTTTATACTTTTTTTTTTTTTTTTTTTTACAAGGAAAAGGCTTTTTAATTCTAAAAAAAATCTTTTTGCTGTGAAATCTTTACTGATTTTTATAAAGTAAATGTAAGAATAACTTATATTATTAGTAATATTTCAAGATTATTAGTTACTTGACTGAAGTACCTTAGGTTTCAAAAATTGTTAAAATATGAGTATCAAATATAATTTATCAGGCTTTTGAGGAATGTTTATTTGTTCAGCTCAGTGATCATTGTATTGCACTGCATTATGTTTTGCCAACCGATATTACAACCGATATTTATATGCATTTTATGTAAGTTGACTGATATACGGTTCAAGATCTCATTGATTTACATTACAAGCTATCAGAATTTCATTTGACCTTGTGGCCATATAAATATCACCAGCTGTACCAAATTGCATATCGGGCCTCTGAATAAAATTGAGGTGTGTTTCCTCCTTGTGTGCTCCATTATCTCACTATAAAAGTGTTTTAAAGTTCAAATAGTTTTCTTAATTCATGTGTTCCTGTATATTCTCCAGTCTGATTATATTTCAAAGACAAATAATCCAAGATATGTTTGACATTGATCATGTGATTGTTTGTACAGGCGGTAAATTGTTCTTCAGAACATCTCAAATCATATTGGATTCATCAAGTTTTATTCTTGTCAGCTCTAGTGCTGCTGTCAGTAGAGCAAGCAATATATGACAAACCAAATAGGCCTACTAAGATATTCTGAAATCACACAATTTTTTATTTAATACATTTTGTAATTAAAAATATTGCATTCTGATTGCATAAGACTATATGGTCCTCACTCTATAATACAGTCTTGTTGTGTGCATGCTATGTGTTCTCCCCAAATCTCTCTCTCTCTCTCTGCCACTCACTCAGACTCTCGTTCTCTCGCTCAGCATCATCTCATGCAGACAGGGAGTTTTTGCTGACAAGGAAACAAGCTTTTGCACCGTAGTTCAACTTTCAATTTTCATGGTTCTCTATTCATTGTTCAGTATCCCTTTGAAGATTAAAGTACAAGCCTGAAGACAGGACATCTCTTGAGTCGGATCTCTGTGCTTGCTTTGTTTGCTGCTTTGGAGAGGCGTTTTCTCTACTTCACACTTGCAAATGACCTCTTAAGTTGTTGGACATGCTGTAGGAGTATTTGGATTCACTTTCAAAGCCTAGATGATGTGCTAACTGTGCAAACCTCAGGAGTGGCAATCCTTTAGGATGAGAATCTTAAACAAGCCCAGTAGTCTGAAGATAATGGCTATGGTGAGATCTTCACTGCAGAAAGTGATGCTTTTTCTACAACACATCCAAAGAATGGCCGTCACGTCACCACGTTATCAGAAACTGTGCAAGGTAAAAGAGTGTTTGTATTCAATTACTTTGTTTATACTACGAAGGTGCATTTTATTCAGATCTGTTTATGATTGTGTGAGTATTTGGGCTCACAGATTCTCAGTGTTTTAGAGGGTGAAATGAAAAGTGCATTCACCAAGATTTAACATTCAATGATATTGCAATGGGATGCATGATTAATCTGTGGCTAAACTGGGGTCTATAGTGAAACAAAGCAGCAGTAACTTTTATCATTGACTGACCTTTTTAGGAATCTTGTCCAAAAAGCCACAGTAATTTATTCTCTAACAGGTATTTCATGAATTATACAGAAATTTGCATCTCAAACTTTCACGTAATATCTCTTTAAAACTTCAGGTCTCTACCAGGAGTGGGGTTCAACCCCACAAGGACATTTGTCTATTGGATCGTAAGTCTAACACCTTAACCACTCGGTCATCCTGGTTACACATACACTAGCTTCTCTGAGCCTTTTCTTATGGTTTCAAGAAGACTATTGTTCAGAGAGTTGTTGCATTATGCACAAACTGCAGTTGGCACCATATCTATGAGATGGCAAGAAGATTAATGCATTGACATTAATAAACTTCTTCTTAATGTCTTCCTCACCACAAGTGTGCCAGTCTCTGATTTCTCTGACTAAAAGCAAACTTTATTGCTTATCTCATAGATGCCAAGTTTCACAACTCTTTTAAAAGACTATGTTAGGGATGTAGGCTATTATATTTATTAGGCACATCTCTAAAAAACACTTTGAACACTTTTACAAACATTTTAATTGAGCCTTATAGTGTGGTCTCCATTTGGAATAAAATGGAAAAAGGATGAACACATTCCCAAAAAAAAAAAAATTGTGAACGTGATGATCTTGAACTGCTGGAAATTACTGGTCTGTGAATCTCAAAAAGAATTAAAGGGGTCATATGATGCGATTTCAGTTTTTCCTTTCTCTTTGGAGTGTTACAAGCTCTCGGTGCATAAAGAATATCTGTAAAGTTGCAAAGACTAAAGTCTCAAATCCAAAGAGATATTCTTTATAAAAGTTAAGAGTCAACCACGCCTACCTAAAACGGCTCGTTCTAACACGCCCCCACATGTCTACGTCACTATGTGGGAAGATTTGCATAACACCGCCCAAATGTTCACGCAAAGAAAGAAGGCGTACCTTTTATACTCGCTGTAGTATTGTTGTTGTCCCCGCCGCCATGTCGTGAAGGCACTGTGTGTTTCGTTGTGAAAGCGAAACTACTTTGTTTGGTCTTCCAAAAGAGGATGATATCTGCTTTGTCATGCCTAGAGCTGATCCGTGCTGGTTGCTGAGGAAATACAACAACTTCGCGCTGTGGATCGCCGGATCGGCTTTCACCGTGGACGAAGCGGAGTTGTCACATGTGGTTGCCGCAAGCCCGCCCCGGGCCGCGCCGTTCTCAAGCCCGACGGCCGCCGCTCACTCAAGCCCGCCATGTGTGACGCTGTGTGTTTACCCATTTAATACAATTTAAAAGCTCTGGATATTATGTTATAATTTTTCATGTTTTCAAGCATATGCGCTCTTGGTTGAACAGCAAGTAAGAGCAGTAATGATGCACTGACAGTTCAGTTGTTGACGTGAACCAGTTAAACCGCTATGTCAGGGGAATGTCTTTAATCTCTAATCAAGAAAATATAATACCTTATTATGTTGTCTTCTTTTTAAAGAAAGCCAGAAGTTGCACTTGAACCATTTTGCGCGAAAAATGACGAAAACATGCGTGAGCTCACGCGCAGCTCGTTAGGTTTGATTGGCCAATCGCCGTTATTTAGTAAATCAATTATTATACGTAGAAAATATTGGTATTTAATTTGCACGATAAGTTTTACATAATACACAGCATTATTATTCTAAAGGGATGGTGGTTTTACAGAGAGGATGCTTTTATCATCTTGCCATCCCCCCGCTTCCCCCCTAAATTCGAGCCCTGGTTATAGCAGTAATAATGATGGCAAATATAATTTTCCTTCATCTTTTCTAGCTCCACTTATTAGCAGAATAGATAACGATATTAATGGATTCCAGCGTAATAATAAGCAAAGACTGTCTGTTATGTCTCTGTTTGATGTCTTTCTTTGGCTGTATATATCATCACTGCGGCCCTAAACGAGAGAGCTATATTTTTCTGATATAAACCAACCACTCATTATGTCTGTGGAGGCTTTAAGGAGACTGCCACCATGAATGAAAGTTTTACAGGTAGGAATTACAGCACACTGTTGAAGGCAGGTGAGGTGTGTGCAGTTTTATTTTGTAGGTAAGTGTTCTGTCAACCACAGATGTGGTTTGGAACGTGATTGGTTTATTTGGATTCGTACACTCTAAAAAATGCTGGGTTAAATACAACCCAGTGCTGGGTAAAATAGGGACAAACCCAGCACTGGGTACCACTCATTATGTCTGTGGAGGCTTTAAGGAGACTGCCACCATGAATGAAAGTTTTACAGGTAGGAATTACAGCACACTGTTGAAGGCAGGTGAGGTGTGTGCAGTTTTATTTTGTAGGTAAGTGTTCTGTCAACCACAGATGTGGTTTGGAACGTGATTGGTTTATTTGGATTCGTACACTCTAAAAAATGCTGGGTTAAATACAACCCAGTGCTGGGTAAAATAGGGACAAACCCAGCAATTGGGCTGTTTTGACCCAGCGGCTGGGTTAAATGTTTAACCCAACCTTCTGGGTAGTAACCCAACCGCTGGGTCAAAACAACCCAATTGCTGGGTTTGTCCCTATTTTACCCAGCACTGGGTTGCATTTAACCCAGCATTTTTTAGAGTGTAGTTGTGTGTTTTCCAGATGTTGTGTCCCTGCATTATTAGTCTAATTAAAGGAATAGGTCACCCAAAATGAAATTTGCTGAAAATATCTTATACTGAGGACATCTAAGACGTAGATGATTTTGTTTATTCATCGGATTCATGTGGATTTCTTGTGGATTATTGTGATGTTTTAATCAACTGTGGACTCTCATTCTGACGGCATCCATTCACTGCTGAGGATCTATTGGAGAGCAAGTGATGTGATGCTAAATTACTCCAAATCTGTTCCGATGAAGAAACAAACGTGTGCACATCTTTGATGGCCTGAGCTGAGAGTGAGTACATTTTCAGCTAATTTTAATTTTGGGGTGAACTATTCCTTTAAAAACAGCAGTGCTGTTTTCTCTTCATTTTAGTCCTATTTATAGGCCACACAGACCAGAGGGATGATCACTTAATCAGAGTCTATTGAGATTTGTTTGAATTGGTGCAATTTCAGCTTCTGCATGCTGTTATTTCTCCTCAGGACATTCAGACAGATGTTGATACCCAGACTGATCTTTCTAAAAGGGCTCTGGGGAGTCAGTTCCAGAATACCGAGGCACAAGAGCTTGATAAGTACGGAGATGTGGACCACATTCATATAGCCTCGAGAAGGTTTGTGCAATATATCCAGCAATATAAACAAGCGGATACCTCCAATGTCCTGAACTTTCCTTCAAACTGTCACGTTCTTTCAGAGAGTTTTTGGAGGCAGGTGTGGAGAAATGGACAGGACTCATAGCCATCCTTGAAGAGCTTTGGTTCTGGGTAAAGCTGAAGGATGAGGAGCTGACAAAGCAGAGGCCGGTGGGAGAAGATGTACATACTTTACTGCAGAAACAAGGCTACTGTACGGTCAGTCATGCTGTGTGTGAAAGAGGGAGTGACATTTACTTGTGGTTCCAAAATCTGTATTACTTAGTCTTTCTGTCTTGAATTTTAAAGAATGTAAAGTACATTTTTTTGGAGCTTCAAAAAGGATGCCAAAGCAGTATGTTCATGGGTTAAAAAGGCATCTCTGATTTTAAGGACCAGGAAGAGAGTTAAACACTTACAGTCCATTTTGTGTGATGTCGTCATATCGTTTTTACATAATGTCTTACAATTTTCCACTTTGTACCCAGCACCTCCTCCTGTGCACCGGTTATTGCCTTTTTAAATAGGCATCATGCAGTCCCTTGATAATATAGATGTTTCTACTTTAATAACAAGATACAATACAAAATAATTAAACCCCTTGATTACTGTTCCTCAAACAGAAGCTGTGATATTGTTTTGTTTGTTATTGCTCTGCTGAATTATTGATGTCCTTTAGATGCACACAGCACTGTTTATCATTGTCATTTATTGCATTTACTGCATTAAAACATTGCATTATTTACACTAAGCATCTTCCCTCTGGTTCTAATGTTTGGGTTTATACATTGCTTTCTGATTGTCGAGTAATTATATCTTCAATTTCACCACCTCTAAATTGTCTGGAATGAGCTGTAATGAATGTCTAGCTTTATCTGTGTGATTTAGTTTAAATGTCACACCCCTGCATCTTTAATGTGTTGTTCGACACAGGCCCTGCACAGCGAGTTGATTGGACGGAGGCAGGATGTGAATCAGATGTGTCTGTCTCTGGCTGTTCAACCTACAGCAATGGAAGTCCAGAGCAATATAGAGACGGCTGCAGGTGAGAGACTGCTTTTGTCAGTTTGTATCCTCCCAGAGGAACATTTTTTGGAGGTTTCTCTTTCATGGCACAGGAATTCTCAGTTATGTTTCTTAAAAGAATCAGCATATGTTATGGATAACAAAGCTCAGATCATTTGGTCTTGGGAGAATGCGATAAGAAATGCCTGGGTTCATACTGAAATCTTCCGATCGACAGTTTATACATATATACACTACTTGTTTAAATGTTTTGGGGTCAGTAATTTCTAATTTCACATTTTTTATAATTAAACAAAAAAGCTACATTTTCAGCAGCCGTTCAATCACACTACCATGCAAAAGTTTGAAATCTGTAAGACTTTTTAATGTTTATTAAAAGAAGTCTATTACTTACTGACCAAAGTTGCATTTGATCAAAAACAGTAAAAACAGTAACATTGTGAAACATTATTACAACTTGAAACCTAAAATTACAATTTATTACAATTTTCTATTTCAGTGTATATTAAAATGTAATTTACTCCTTTGATGCAAAGCTGAATTATCAGTATCATTACTCCAGTCTTCAGGGTCACATGATCCTTCAAATCATTCTAATATGCTAATTTGCTGCTCAAGAAACATTTATTACTATTATCAATGCTGAAAATGGTTGTGCTGCTAATATTTTTTGTGATAACTGTATATATATATATACACACTAGTCAACATTTGAAGTGGATCAAAACCTTTCATCAAAGTTGTCCTAAAACCTAAAACCAAAATGCGTTCTTGTCTTAACTTTGATGAACTTTTTTGATCCACTTCAAATGTTGACTACTATATTTTTTCAAGATTTGTACTTGTCTTTATTGTTACCATTGATCAACTTATGTATTTTGCTGAATAAAAGTATTAATTTATTTTTTTTAAATCTTACCGACCTCAAACCTTTGAATGGTAGCATACATTAAAATCACACATTTCTCTGTTAAACACACTTAGTTGCAGTGACAGATTTCACCTATCAGTCTGGTTTTGCCCTCAATTGTCTGTTTCTATTAAAGATGCCACCAAGTGTCAAATTTGATGTGTATTGTCTTTCCGATGTAAATGGTCGTCTCCTGGATTCAAACACTAATTTTTTATTACACCTTTCATTTCTGGAGGTCATAGTTTTAGGCTATAGCGTCGTTGCTGCTTGATTTATGTGTCTCTGTAATGGCTCAGTGGACACAATAAACCTTATAGGACACAAAGTGAAAAGTGAGAGAGTGCTGAAGGGGACGGATGTAAATCTGAGCTGGATTTATAGCAGCTGATCGCAGAGGAAAGATTAGATTCCAGAGTAAAGAGACTGGTCCACAGTAATATGGTTAGGACTAGGACTCTTAACTACTAAAGCATTCAGTCCTGTAAAACCCAGTCTACATGTATCTGACATGAACAAATAAATATGAGAAGATAATCTTTTTAAAGTAGCCTACTGACAAAAAGTATTAGTACAATGAAGCTACTCAATTAAATAATTGATCTAACTATCCAATTCTAAAATGTATAATTTAATCAGAACCACAGTTTTATAAAAGAAATGAATAAACAATTACAATTACACATGTAAACATATAAATTTACTTTAACTATAGTTGTCCCTAATTTATACAAAAAGGCATACAAAAACTAAATCATCCAAATAGAATCGAAATCCCACTTTTTGGAATCTGTACGTTTACAAGAACCGTCCAAACGAAACGGATTTAATAGAAAGAATTTAAAAACACATTTCTTCCATCTTTATTTGACTCTCTAACTCTAGCACTCTCTATTCTAATTCTATTCTTTAAAAAAAACCGTATCCCTTTTAGACTTGCAATCTATTCATTTACTAAATGCTTGTTTTCTTTAAACAAAAAAAACTAACACTAGCTTTTCTAATCTTTTTGTATTCTATCTATTTGTTTTCTTTTTATTTATTATTTATAAAAATAATAACTTGACCCTCTAACACTAGCGTTTTCTATTCTTTTTCTATTCTATCTTCTTGTTTTCTTTTTATTTATTATTTTAAAAAATAATAACTTGACCCTCTAACACTAGCGTTTTCTATTCTTTTTCTATTCTATCTTCTTGTTTTCTTTTTATTTATTATTTTAAAAAATAATAACTTGACCCTCTAACACTAGCGTTTTCTATTCTTTTTCTATTCTATCTTCTTGTTTTCTTTTTATTTATTTTTATTTTTATTTATTATATCATAAAAAAAAAACTTGCTACGTGTACTGCATTAAACTATGAGACTTGTTATAGCACTTGCGCATCCTTGCTCTTTTGTGGATTTTGATTGCTTCCATTGTCCTCATTTGTAAGTCACTTTGGATAAAAGCGTCTGCTAAATCATAGCCGCTAATCATAGCTTGAAGTTGCTTACTGTCTACTATTATGATGTTGTAATCTACTGTAATAATGTAAAAGACGTCATGGTCATATAAATGTCACCATAGTATGCAGAAACCCACAGATCACAAAAAAACGCTACTTTGGATTAAATAATCACTAAAATGACATGACGTGGAACATCTCGCTTGACTGACGCTGTCTTTAACTTTCAGCAGAGACAGTCCAGGAGGAGAAGATTCGTCAGCTGGCTCAAGCGGTTCAGGAGCAGGCCATTGAGGTCCAGCAGCACTGGGAGCGGTTCAGTGCTCAGGCCGCCAGCTGGCAGCACGAGGTCGACTGGGCTCTGGGGAAACTTCAGGATCTCCAACATGCCATGAACCAACTGGACCTCGGCCTGGCTGAGATGGAGAGTGAGAGCCTGCACTCTGAGGAACACAGCATGGTCAACTGTGTGCTGGAGAACGTGGAAAATATCGTGAGTTCAAATGAAAAATTACGGCAAGGATGTAAAGCGAGGCCCATTAATGTAATAACTAAAAGTAACTAATAATGAGCAACTAATTTGTTGCAGTATTTATTAATCAGGTCCAATTAATATTGTAACATTACAATTCCTGATTTTAATGATGTATTAGTTAATGTTGAAATTGACATTTACTAAGACTAATAACTGTTTTAGAATAACTTTTCATTGTTAGTTAATTCATGTAGTTAACTAATGTTAAACAAATAGTTTAATTATTATAGTAATAATTTTGTTAAGTGCTACCAAAATTCATTTTCTTTATTATTTTATTTTTTATTGATGCTGAATTAGTAACATATACTTTTTCTATTTTATGTTTCAGAATTGTTCTTCAAAATGTTTTAATGCCTGATTTCATTTTAAAGGGGTCATTGGATCTTTCATGCACTTTTACAAGTTGTTTGAACTGAAATGTGTGTTGGCAGTGTGTGTACACAACCATCCTATAATGATAAAAATCCACTCAGTGTTTTTTTTTTAATCTACTAAAATCTTTTCCCCTTTCTCAAATCGAGCCGATCTCAGATGCCTGTCTGTGTGATGTCACAGACAAAGGCCCCTCCCACGATCGCGCGAATCATTCGTGATCCGGCTTCACCTACAGAAGAAGTGAGTATACGATTTTTTAATGAACCTTTGCAAATCGCCTTTCCTAATAATGTGCTAATTAGCAAGTTTCATGATGAATGTAAAGTAAACAGTCCCTCAGAGAGCGGCTCAGAAGAGAGGGGCGGGGTCAGCAGAGCTCATTAAAATTTAAAGGAAAATGCTACAAAACGTCTTGCTCTGAAAAGAGAAATTTTAACCAAACTATGTTACAGACTTTTCATTAAGATCCTAAAGAATCATATCAACTTGTGGAAAATGGGCATCCAATGACCCCTTTAAGCTTAAAATGATCACCTTTCAATATAAACTAGAATTTGTGTCTTTTTTGTTTTTAGGGCCCTTTTTTATCATAAACTCTGTTAGCATTTGTTTTATTATGACATGCTTTACTGTTCAACATTTAGGTATATGATAACCATATTTGAGATTATTATTAGGAGTCTTCCAGTGTTTTTGAGTGAAGAGGGAAAATTTACTCTAGTACTACAGATGTCACTCTCTATTCTTCAGTTTATTCCAGTTTGACCTCCACAGACTTAGAACTCTATTATACACTTGGATATGTCATAGGCAGCTCATCCCTCATGTCTCATGTGATGATCAAATATGACATTTTCTTTGTAATTTTAGCCTAGAATAGACTAAGGCAGATCCAGTGAAAGATCAGTCTCAGATTTGACTGTACAAATGCATCTGTTTGATTGAACTGTCCCACCAGGTCAGATTAGGTAGAGGACTGCATACACGCAAGGCCATCAGACCACACCGCCTATTGATCATACAACGTCAAACATCAGGGTCAAGATGGAGTTACATTGGTTAAACTCTGAGATGTGCAGTAATGGGCATAAAACCATCTGAAATACTCTTTAAA